CCAGCGTCCCATGAACATCGTGAATAAAGCACCAACTGGGACCCCCCACACACACTCTGAGTTGTGTATAGCGAACATGACAAAACATACATACAGCATAATCACTACCTTACCCTTCCCGAACCACATAAACAAACGAACTACGGGCTGCGCACCCGTGCCCTCACGTTAAGTCAATAAGCAGTGTGACTACTTGCAGTTCCTGGGACGTGCAAATGTCAGGGCCGTGACTGTCCTTTGTGGGTAGTCGGCCCTTGTGACCACACCGGCACCCAAAGTCGCACAGTACCAAAGGCCTCAAATATTTGCGACTTTAGGTCCCCGTGTGAGTATGGCCTTAGTTCCATCATTTGATCCTTTGCTGTCATTTAGTCCAACCATTTTCCATTCCGTTGTCCATGAGGGCTACATGGTCGTCTATCACTCCTGCCTGCAATCCATTGCTGCAGAGTCCTCAACCACTTTTGCATGTGATCCTAGGTCTGCCTTTTCTTGTTATCATGTCGACCTGCCATCGCCCTCGTATGGAATAGACCTACAAGCCCCAATAGCGAAGCTCCACCCAGAGTCCAGCAAGTGGCAGTACGTTTTTTGAGGGCTTTGATGCGCCCACTGTGCTATTCACTGTTGCGTCTGTCTCCTGTGCTGTTCGCCGCCTGCACCCGCAACTCCCAACCCTCCAAGTCCCCAAGTCCCGTAGCGCAGGCCGACGCATCGCAATGCCTCCGTCCACATGGTAAAGTAAGCAAAAGACAGTACTTGTAGAAGCGCGTCGGAAGTCATCGCCCTTTTAGAAAAAAAAAGAAGTCATTGGTTCCAAAAGCACCGCGCAAGTTATCGGTTCCAATCAGCTGTCATTTCCGACGCCACCAACTACACAACAACATTTGCACTGGGTCCCCTGGCCGCGCCGACGGTCGGGCCGCACGTGCGCGGGTTCGCTGGAAATTCGAATATATGTCGTCGAGGCGGGGTTTGTTCGATTGCGCGCTTCTGTGGGCGCGCGTGGCGGACGCTTGGCGGGAGCGAGCTAACAAGTAAACGAGCGGGAAAATCGGCGGCAGGAAGAGAGGCGAGCGGGCGATAAAGGAGGAAGAGTTAACAGGGGGCGAAGGGGGAACGTTGGTGCATTCAGAAGCGAGACTCAACATAGGATAGACTTGACGAGGAATACGCAGGTCGCCGATCTGAGACAGGTGCTTGAGAGGAAGCAGCGGGAAGTAATTGCACGTCTGCTCAGCAGGCGCCAGGGGTGGGAAAGCGCGAAGAGGGGGGCGACGGGACCGGCACACGGAGGAAAGGAGGGGAAAAACGAGGGACGTCACGATGAGTCATCTTGGTGCCTCGGGTAGCAAAATGTCGGTCCAAGGAACCAACGACGATGCCACGCTCAGTAAAATGTATGTATATTCATTGTTTCACTTTGGTGAATGCTGGAAATCGTGAAAATTGCATTCTCCGTCATGAAAGGAAGGCCTGGCTTTTCGCACACACACACACACACACACACACACACACACACACACACACACACACACACACANAGTGTATGTGAACAGTGAGATGTTTGGGTGCTGAAGTCGCCATAGCCAATTGAGAGTGAACTCGTATCTGAAAGCCATATCTCTGAGTTTTGAGTGGGCGCATGTCGCCAGTATGCTGCGTTGCTGTTTACATGCATGAAAAGGGTGTTTGAGAACGAGTCTGATTGCACAAGTGCCTTGTGGTTTGTGGTTTGTGGCTAGTTTCCGGTCTCTCTTCTGCCATGAGCACCTCGGCTTTGTAGGTTTCAGTAGAAGGGATATATAATAAGTAGTAGCCCTGCCTTGGTTGTAGCAAAGATGGACTTTGACATTCCCGTCTCACATTGCCTGTTTGTTCCCGTATATTTGTATCAAGAACAGAAAAGGAAAAGGGTGAAAGAGCAGTTGTGTGGTGGCAATAAAAAATAGCCCACCTACCCACCTATCCACCCACCTAACCGCCCACCCACTGCCTACCCACCTACCCACCTACCCACCTACCACTACCCACCCACTGCCCACTACCCACCTACCCACCTACCACTACCCACCTACCCACCTACCCACCTACCCACCTACCCACCTACCCACCTACCTACTACACACCTACACACCTACCCACCTACCCACACCCACATACCTACCCACATACCTACCCACATACCTACCCACATACCTACCCACATACCTACCCACATATCTACCCACATACCGACCTGCCCACTGCACCTGCTCACCTGGCCACCCGCCCGCCCACCCACCCGCCTACCCACCGCCCCACCGCCCCCCCCACCCCCCCCCCCCCCCCCCCCCCCCCCCCCACCGGCGTACCCACCGGCGTACCCGCCGACCTACCCGCCGACCTACCCACCTACCCACCTAGCCACCTACCCGCCTACCTACCTCCCTACCTCCCTCCCTCCCTACCTCCCTACCTCCCCACCTACTTACCTACCTACCTGCCTGCCTACCTTCCTGCCTGCCTACCTACCTGCCTATCTGCCTACCTACCAACCTACCAACCTGCCTTCCTACCAACCTACCAACCTACCAACCTACCAACCTACCAACCTACATATCCACCTACCTACTTACCTGCAGACAATGCCTATGTTATGTCCCCTACTATGTACAAAGTGCTCAGGGAGGCCCTGGTTGAGACTGTGGCAAATTTCCAGTCAATGCATGAACGAATCTCTTGCTGACTAGGTAATGTGGGCTATTTCTTGCAGATAAATCCACATGATGCTTTTGGTCAACAAATGATCAGGAACTTGGAGGTATGTATTACGGAATGCCTTTCTCTCATCTGCAGGGTGTGTCCAGTTGAGAGCTCTACTACACAAGGGGGTGCAACTCTCTAGTTGGATAGATGTATGGACGGATGCTCAGAGGAACATGCGGGTATGGAGACGGGGACAGGAGGGCAGATGGAGCACAAGCAGGCAGGGAGAATAGATGGAGAAGGCAGTGGGTGGAGGGGAGACCAGGGAGGACTGAGGGGCAGAGGGAAGGGATGGGGTCCTTGAGGAGCAGTCAACAGAGAGCGAGGGGCAGAGAGCACAACAGAGGAGGGGGGGAAACAGGGGAGTAGAGGAGCGGGCAGGCAGATGGCCACACAGCTGGACAAGCTGGTGGGCGTGCAAGAGCACAAGTGGATGGGATGCGGACAGATGAAGAGAGGGTCAGGTGGACAGAGATGGGTGAGTAGGCGGGTGAAAGATGAATGGAGGGGCAGTTAGACAGAGGGGTAGGGGCGTTGAGGGGGCATAGAAAAGATGATGGATGGGTTGCAGGGACACAGGTAGGGAGGTGGGAGAGAGGTAAGGGGCAGGGACACTTATGTAGGCAGGGAGACAAGGTAGAGAGGTGGGAAGACAGGTTGACTGGTATGGACATACGTGGGTAGGGCCAAAGGTAGGTACGTAGGTAGGCTTGCTTGCCAGAGGGAAATTGGACATAAAGACAGGTCAGACAGGCAGTTGAGACTAGCAGAAAAGATACAAAAAGACAGGCTAAACAGTTGTAAGAGAAAAAACCGACCAAACAGACAGAGGATCTGACAGACAGACCAGATTGACAGGTTAAAACAGACCGGCATACCAACCAGGCAAACAAACCCACAAACAACAGAATGACATACAAGCAGACCAACAGACTGATAAACAGAACCACAGAGTGATAGATAAGACTGGCTGTCAGAGCAATGAACGGATGTGTAGAGCAATGGATGAACGTACCCTTGACCTGCTCTTCTTTCTTTTTGTGCTTCTTTTGCCGCCCGCCGCATTCCTTCCTCCGACGGATGAACATACACTCGACCTGCTGTTCTTTCTTTACTTGCTTTCTTTACCCCCTGTCGCATTCCTTCCTCCTACCCCCTTTTCCTTCCGCCACCTGCCTTACTTCTGATATGAAGGCAAGGCTGGAAGGAGGTGGGATGACTGAAGGGGGGTCTGCAGGGTGGAGGGAGGACTAGCAGATGTGTTAGGCCTCATTGTCTGGGGCTCCTTTGGGTCTGGAGGTCCTTTGATTTCTGAGATGGGGACCCTTTGTGGTGTTGGATCCTTCCAAAAATCCTGAAGTGAGCGGGGGAGTGTACCTCAATGGGTGGACAAGAGGATACACTGAAATGTGGTCCGGACTCGCGCGAACTGATGTAGAGTTCATAGAGAACAATGAAGTTGTCAGGTACACTTTCACGGCCCCTTCAACATGAGGTCAGGGAGACACCCTGAAACAAATGGACAAGCTGAACGGAGAGACGAGTCTCGACTGCCTCTTCTTCTGCTCGCCAGCCCCTAACGTTTTCGTATCCAAGTTCCAGCAAGATCTGAACTCTTGGTTTATGTATTTACTATTTACATGTGTATCATCAAGCCACTCCGTCTAGCTTGTGCGAATGAAGATTTAGCTTAATCAGATAGATAACGGTGAGCATTTTCCTGGGTGTCAAATCTGTACGACACTGGTGTTCGTACCTCTATTTCCACGTACTTTGAAGCAGTTCTGGGCTGGCAGCTGCAGGTAGTGTCTGCAAATTTATGTCACCAGGTCTTGGTGGTAATGAATTTGCTTGACAAATGTGAATCAGAGATTTGAAAGGCAACAAACAGATTTGGATAAGTTAGGTTTGACTGGCTAGGAAGGTGGCTGAGCAGCCGGGATGTAGATCTGGGTGTCCAGACTGGACAGCTTGTCAGATATACCCTAGGTGGACAGTTTAGATGCCAGTCCAGGCCATTTCAACACTTAAGGGACTTCTGCATAAAAAACATGCACTGTGGGGGTATTGTACGATGCAACAATAATCAGTACGGCCCCTTTTGTGGGGATGTTTTCTGCAGCAATTGCTTCAGTTTCGGCTAGCCTCTCTCTTTTTTTTTGTTTTTCATTTTGGCACACCCCGCAAACAGATGCCTCAGCCCCCCCCGCCGTCCCCATTCTATGCTTTGTTTACTGAAGCAGCTTATACTACTAGAGAGGCCGTCTGGTTGGATGTAGGCATTCGCTATTTCGGTAAAGAAGTTCAGAAAATGCAGAGCTGTGGGCACATCAGAGAAAGTCGGTTCGATTGCTGGGGCATTGGCGGGCGGAACACACGCATACACATACACACACACACACACACACACACACACACACACACACACACACACACCTGTCTCTTATACACATCTAGATGTGTATAAGAGACAGCACTTACACGAGATTGCCTTGCCGTCGAATGAGACGCATCGTAGGCATTATCACTTCTGCGTCATTCGATAGATCTGACCGATGCAGTACTACTACTGTAATAGATAGATCTGGCCAAACGCCGTAATATTGTAATAGGGCAAACTCGTCTAACTTAGAAAACTTAGAAAACTTAGAAAACTTAGAAAACTTGTATTCGGTAGGGCTGTCGTGGTCAGACTACGATTTTGATGGCTGTGATGGTTCCTCTTCTCGATCAGACAACGTTGTAATAGTTCCTCTTCGGAACAGCCGCAGATTTTATTTGAGGTTGTGATGGTTCCGAAATATAAATAAATAAATTCTGTAATATAAATAAATAAGTACTGTAAATTGGATAAAAAGGGAAGCTAGTCCGACCAACCCCCTTTCAGACAACGTTTTTGGGTGTCATCCTTGCGCACGGGCCTCGGAACTGATTCTAATGACACTATCCCTCCCCTTTCAGCTAAATTGGTTGTGTAATATTTCCTCCCGATCAGACAACTGTGTGATGATTATTTAGAGCAGCCACATATGTTATTCAGATCAGGTGTCCGCCGCCAATCTTCCCCCTTTCGCGGATTTTTTCGCCGATCCACTTCCCGCCTTGCGCACCCCCGCGCCCTCCTCCCCCGCCTCCCCCCGAGCCCCCTCACTCTTCCGCCAGTGGATTGTCATTGTTTCTTTACCCTCACCCTTCTCGCTCTGTACTTGGTGGCCATGAGACTTAGCCGCTCCGGCGGTGATGTCTCTTGAACCCCGCGCTCTGCCGCTGCCTTGAGATATGATGATCATTCAACTGGCGACGGCCTTGAGAGATCATCTCATCCATAGGTAATTCTTTTGTTTTTTTTGTTTCATTCGTCTAGTTTCCGGTCTGTGTATTTCTTTTCTGCTTTTTGTTTCTGTTAAGACAGGGCTGATCGGCCTTGACAGATCATCTCATCTCATCTCATCTCATCTCATCTCATCTCATCTCATCTCATCGTCTAGCTGATCGGGCCAAGGTAATCCAATAATATTTCATTCCTATTAGTTCCATCTGCATTGGAACAGAGTTCTGTTTTTTCAACAGTTCGCGGGTGTTGTACCAAGTGAGCTGTGTGGGCCAAGGTGGTCGCTGCTGATCTTTATTCCTCACTCTTCACCGGGTGCTTGCTTCTCTCTTCTGGATATGGTAGCATACCAACCAGGCTTCTTTTTTTTTGTGACCGTTTCTCGAATTATGGGTGTCATCCTTGCTCACGGGCCATGCTAATTTCAAAAAAATATGTGACTCGAATTATGCGGGTTCAAACTCTCCTTATGCGGGTTCGTCTCTGGTCACAGCCTGTAATTTTTTCTCTGTGACCGACCGCACAAGGAAGAGAAATGCACCAACGGGCCTACAGTAGCTTAGTTGGTACACTGATGAACTGTTGAAGTACGGACCCGTCTTCGAATCCGAATGGAACTAGATGAATGGAAATCCGGAATTATCTGGGAAAAATCCGAATGGAACACTACCGTCTTCACCCGAATAGAACGCCCGGGCATTATAGCTGCATCTGGACAGAAAATGGGCCCAAATACGGCTATAATGACCGGGCGTTCTATTCGGGTGAAGACGGTAGATGAATGAAAATCCGGAATTATCCAAATGGAACTAGGTATCTTTATAGGTGAAGATGTCAGGGATTGGCGAGTGCGAGTGCGACTTGGCTAGTCGTGATTTCAAAGCAAAGTTAGTGTCCAGAAAGCGGAGCAAAAAGAGGCAGGACGTGGTGAGTCATGCAGGACTTGTGCCATGCTGGAATTTTGTGCATTGCATCCTCAAGTGGGTTCATCGTTGCATTGGGACCACCATTGGAACCTGAAACGCCAGTCAAAATGGATAGAGCTTTTTCTGCCAAGTGGAGGATGTAGGTCCTAAGGGCTCCTGAATGGCGAAAAATGTGAACACGGAGGAGGAGGAGGAGGAAACGTGGACAAGTGGGAGGATGCAGTTCATCATAAGAAGGCTCGCCACAAGTGAGTGGGGAAGATGTGAACAGAGAGTGGAGGAGGAGGAGGAGGAGGAGGAGGAGGAGGAGTGCATTGAGCCTCCTGTGAGAGAGATTTAGAGGAGAAATAACAGCTGAGTGGGCAGATGGAGGGGGAGAGTGCATTGCACGTGCTGGTTAGTGGGCTAAAGAAGCGTCCCGATGTTTAGTGGAGGAGGAGGAGGAGGAGGAGGAGGAGGAGGAGGAGGGAGATTGGGGATGGTTAGTATGCGATACTAGTTGTTATACTGAAATGAACACTCGTTTTGGGGGTAACCAGCAGCAGCAGCGCTTTTGGCGGAGCAAGGTTTCACCTCCGCAGCGAGATAGATATAATGGGGCGCAACGGAAAGTACAAGTGGGGTTGAAGATGATATAATGGGACTCCCAAACTTTGTTTCGTTAGATTGAACCCCGAGATGTGACTCCCAAACAACTTAGGCCGCCGACTTATACTTCCGTCTTCACTCGAATAGAATGCCCCGGCGTTATAGCCGTATTTGAGCAACTTTCAGTCCAGGTACTGCGATTGTGACGGGGCGTTCTATTCGGGTGAAGACGGTGGGACATTTCTCGACTAATTTTGCCGGTTTTCGTGACCAGATGCATGCAGGAAAATCCTAGGCTAAGGGTGAGTGACACCTTGGCTAAACCAGATAGTGACAACTGAACTTCGAGGGAGGCAGGGAATGTGAGTGTGGCACTAGTTGTGGGGAGGCATCAAGCCTCCCACTGATGCCTACACTGATGGAGCATAACCAACGGTAAGCCCCCCCCTGATGCCTCCCACTGATGCCTTATTTGATGGACCATAAACAATGGTCAGCGCGCTCATACTGGTCAATACGGGGAGACAAAGTAAAGTCGGTTCAAATGACAACGCTCCTTCTATTTTGGGAAGCAGCAGTCCGGTTCCTTTTCCACCGGCAAGTCAAATAGGACACAAAATGTGCTCACGGGATGCTCCTCCCCATCATGGCTGGGAGGTCCGAGTGAATGGCGTTGTTTACTTCCCTCAGGAAGAGGCGGTTAACGGAGACCTCAATTTTCAGACAACTTCACATGAAGGAAGGATGTACCACCCCTCACCCCTTGCCTAAGTTAGCCTCATGCTCTCAAAGTGTCGAACTCGTCCTCTCTGCCCCTCCTGCAAGGAGGAGACCAAGGACTAGATGGGGTTACCAAGGACTACCTGCAACCCCGTTGCCAATACTAGATGGGGTTACCAAGGACTAGATGGGGTTACCAAGGACTA